TGATGGACTTTATTGTCCGGCAGAGCACATATGGCCTCAATCCAGCAGGCTTTCCAACATGGATTCGATCTGGGCGAAGCGCTAGCCAAGCGCGCGTGCAAGAGACTCCCCGCTTGACTTCTGGAACGGGGTATGACTTTTTGGCAATGCTTCTTGCACCATGCAACCATGTCGACGTGATGGGCAACCTCAGTCTCGAATTGATGACGATTCGGCGCTGATGAACGCTACACTTGCTCTGCTCAATCCTTTTCCCTCGAGCCTCGAGCCCTCGACCGTGGCAAGGCTGCCATCCATGCAGACATTTGCCGCGTTTCCACTCTTTGCGCGCAATTCCCACAACTCCATCAGCCTCTGCCCTTGCCAAACGCCGCAACCTTGCCCGTCGCCGCACGTTCAGTTTGCAAGCTCACTACGAGTGCCCTGCTAGACATAGAACTACATTCTTGCACGCCATCTCTCCTTTCCTTTTGTATCCGATCCGGCATTCCAGGACCTAGAGGCGCTTCTTTTGATGAGCTTTTGCGGGGCAGCAGCAGCCCTCGGGCTCTCTTGCGGATCACTTGGCGGTGGTGCAGCCTATGCACCGTACGGCTACCCACAAGCTCCCTCATCACCCCAATACCTGCCCATTCCCCTCCCAGCACCCGCACCCGCACCAGCTCCTCCAGCTCAACCCATCTGGAGCATCTTGCCCTACCCTTCCCCCATTCAAGTCCCGGCTATGGCCAACAACGCCTTGGCGATGGACTGCTTCACTTTTTTGCTCTTTGCCCTCGCTCTCATCTACTTTTTGAGACCTGATCTCTGGCCAAAAGTGAGCAATTTGTTAGGATAGCTGTCCTTCTGCCTTCAGCGCCGCAGTCTGATCGACGATGCGACATTCGTTCTGGAAGGTGGAGAGAGATAGAGAGAGAGCTGATGTTCGAGCCGCTGCACCTTCATGTTCAATATCCCATCCAGGTACCAGCGCCGGCTGCAGCACCTGCGCCTGCCCCTGCCCCTGCGAAAGCACCAGCAAATGAGGAAGGGAAGTGTGGAGGAGACAATAAGCAGAAAGGAGGGGGTGGTGGCAATAACGACAACAAGAAGCAAGAGAATAAGGCAGAGGACGAAAAGAAGAAGAAGGAGGCAGAGGAGAAAAAGTCAAAAGAGGATGCCGAGAAGCAAAAGAAGCTCATTGTGGATACCATTGCGGCGGAGGAAAAGAAGAAGGCAGACGCGGCTGCCAAAAAAGTGGCCGAGGAGGAGAAAAAGAAGAAGGAGGAAGAGGACAACAAGAAATTAATCGTCGATACGATTGCGGAGGAGAAGAAGAAGGCGGATGAAAAGGCGGCAGAGGAGAAGAAGAAGGCGGATGAAAAGGCGGCAGAGGAGAAGAAGAAAATGGACGAGGAGAACGCCAAGAAAAAGAAGGAGGAGGAGGCGAAGAAGCCACCTGCTGACCCTCCAAAGAAAGGTGACGAGCCCAGTCGAAGAAGCCGGCGCTTCAAGTATCTGATTTGGTGCTGACTCCCTAGCTCCTTGGCGATGGAATCATTGATAGCGTGTGATTGCAAATTCTTTGCTGGTCAAGTGAGTGTTCAAGCTGCTTTCAACGGTGGCCAGCTGGCGCAGCTCATCGAAGCCAGCGTCTGTGAAACCCCCCCTGATGCTTCCGTAGCGAGTGTGGATGTAAGTTTGAGCTCGAGACCAAGCAGAATGACGGCAGGATCCAAATGCTAATGATGTCCGCCGCGCACGCATCCCCGCAAGATCGCAAAACGGTGGACGATGGTGGGGGACCATCATCTGCCGAAAGGACGGAATGTGGTACGGCTCCAAGATTGTCAATGGTGGGCAGAACAAGTGGGGCGGTAAGTTGAGCCTACTGTGCCATCAATTCGAAGAGGAGCTGCATTTCGCGCCTTTCGTTGACCGCCATTGTGTCGTGCACACCCAGGCCCCAAGCTGCTGACTGCCCCCTTTTCGGCTAAGGAGGAAGAGTGCGTACACGCCGCTGGCGAAGCAGTGCTCTTTTCCGTATTGACAGATCACGCTTGGGCAAATTTGCAGGCTGATTCCACGGCTGGAGTATTTCGGGCCCAAGTAAGTCTGCTGGAAAGTGCAGATTGTGAGTGCGAGAGGCTTCTGTAGACTGACTGTCGTCTGACGTTCCAGGCGGGAGCCCGTTATGAGCCACTTCTCGGGTGTGTGCTGCTAAAGTGCGAGTCTCGAGACGTGTACGAGCTTTCGATTACAAGACTGAGGCATAACCATGGGATCCAGAGACTTTCTGCGCAACGCGGTACACTGCCGCTTTCCGATTTGCATCGCGCCTTCAATCCATATCTTCGACGCTAGCATCCAAGTCTCTTTCCATTTCCATTCCTGTAGCGTTCGTTTCAATGT